ATCTACAATAAAACTTTTAGTTCAATGATTGATTTTTTAAAATATTAATTAGAATATGAATCTTTAGACAGGTCCTTAAAAAAAAGATTTAAGAGAACAACTTGCACTATACTATCTTCAAGACTTATAAGAGAAAAGAGGTAAATAAATATGTCAACTTTACAATTTTTTCCCTTTAAGAATGCTAAATTTATTTATTTTTATTTAAAACTTAATTAGATGGTGATATTGACATGACAATGCAAAGTTGTCATTGTTAAATAAAAAGAGAACAAAGTTAATTTTCTTAAATAAAAAATTACAAAATTGAGATTCTTATCCACACTTGTTCTCAAACTAATAAAAATTGTTAAAATTTTTAATTAATCTTAAATAAAAACTCAATAAACTTTGTTAAAATACTTATAAAATCTTAAATAAATATCTGATAAACATTTTAAAGAAAGCTAATTGAAAAAGTTAAAGAATCCAAACTCCAATTATAAATATAATTATAACTTTTAATTATCAAGTTCTCAATGATTTGATTCAACAAAAGAAAAATAATGAAACCCAATAACTATCATTTTTATCCTTCAATTCAATTAATTTGACAATTTTAATTTTAAATTGTATGACGACTTAATTATACGCTACTTTAAATCTAAATTCAATTATGTTTTAGTCTATTATATTATAAAAATTATTAAAAATTTCATAAGGTTTGAATAAATATCTAATGGGTATTTTAAAATCTCCCTAAAATATTAAATAAATATCTTGTGAAGTTTTTAAAGAAATTTCATTGATAAAGTTAAAGATTGATTAAATTAAATTAATATCATTTAAAATGATATGATAAGCCGAACACATAATTTTTTATGAAATTAATTCCCTATTTAATAACACTTAATATTACTCCAATTATATCAAAGTTCACAAATTTCACTTTAATCACTATATAATAATTTGAGTTTTACATCTACGTATTGAAAACAATTTATCCAAATATATTGTCTAACTCCTATTTCAATTATATAATGTGTTTAGAGTGTAGATAGAAGTTATATCATTTTCAAAGTGACATTCACAACTTAATTCTTATTTACTTCTTTATTCTAGGATTAAGAGAATAATAATTAAGATGTAATTAATTGACAAAAAACATATTTTTTAAATATGATTATTAAAATATTGATGATTATGAATAACTATACATTATAGTATGTATAATTGGTGTGCATCATTTTGATAATGACAATATCAACTTGAAAAACTAATTTAAAAAGTACAAAATGGTTCTAAACCAAGCACCTAAATGTAAGAATAATAACAAACAAATTATTAATGCAAAGAAAAAATGAGGATGAATGTATAGTAGATAAATAAATATAATGATATAATGTAAATAATAAGCTAAGAAATGGAGTTCTAAGTAAGGTTGTCAAAATCGAGATTTTACCTAAAATTGTTTTGGTTAGGTGAAATCGGAATCGTAAAATTGAATCGGTAAAATCGAGATTTTATAAAATTTAATTTATAATATATAATAAATTATATAAAATCAAAATTAAATAACAATAAATCAAA